AATCAGATATTAATAACATTGAATAATAACAATTTTTGAATATTTCTCAAATTCATGTTCGATAAGATAAAATAAGATCATAACGTTTATTTGTAAGTCTAATATAAAGAAAGAATAAACATAATGCCCGTTGTTGATAATTACACACAATCTTATGCGCATTATCACCTATCGTGAATTTGAACCTTTTCCCATTAATCTCAAAAAAGATAAAACACGGAGATATCCATTCTTTTTTGGGTTATTTTTTGTCTATGTGCACTAACTGTGAAGAAACAGTATTTTTGTAGAATTTTTTAACGATTAGAACTAAATATTTATACGTAGAATCAAGGTTTGTCCATGAATTTTGCACAATAACACGAGCACTTAACAAATGAGTTCATTATATTGAAACGAATACTATCATGGCAGTATGGCAACTGTTAATGAAGTCATGCATATATCAGTGGAAAATTTTAAAAAATGAAGTAATGAAAAAATAATTTTTTTACAAGAAGATATTGAAAAGAAATTTTAATTCAAATTAATTTTGATTACAATAATGATGTTAAAAGATTAAGAAGTAATTTGTTGAATTTTGAGCATCTATAAATGTTTAATGAGTTAATAATAAAATACTTTTTGCGTTTAGAGCAATCCGGAATGCTTAGCAGAACAGTATAGTAAGTTGACTTGATGATTATGTAGTTTGTCGAGTACTTCAAATGCGCTATGTTTGAATCTGAGCGCCGACGAGTTATGTAATAACGGTAAGTAAGTCAGTTATGTCGCACCTGTTCTATAACATATTTACTACGTTCTAACATACCATATAGTTCTTCCGTTTGGTCTTTGTGGCTTTCTAGAATGACCTGATAAGTGGTAAGTAAATGTGTCTCAAGTAGTTGTGTGAAAGAACTCTGCACTAGACTATCCATCTGACCAGAGCTGTAATCGATAGTGAGTAACGATATGGATGATCATGTCAGAAGCTTGTCAATGCAAGAAAGACATCAGACTATTGATACTGACACTGTCAGCACTCTACAACGGTGACAGTGAGCTAAAGATGGGGTATTCTTCGCTCTCTTCTTCCAATAATGGCTGTTCAATATTGATATTTACTACTGTAGCATCAACATTGGACTATGTACTGTTGTCTATGAGCACTCCTCAGCATTGATTTTATTTAGATTTTATTTTTATAGAAATTACTTTAATGATTTATTGGTTGATCAGCAATATGTTCTAAATTCTATATGAACAATCATTATATACATGTAGCATCATATCAAACGAAAAGTTCAACACATTCAGCGTGTTAATGATGCTCGAAATCTTTATATTTGTAAAGATAATTGATTAAATGTTGATCAAGTATATGATAGAAATTGACAACACAAAGATTTAATGGAAATACAATAGAAATGTTTTTCGCATTATTGATTAAAAACTGATCATTTTTCAACTGCCTATTTCTTAAGAAGGCTAGAAGTGAACTGTGTGTCAATATATTAGATAAAAGAAAATTGTTTTGAGTTGAAACTTTCACTTCAGATTGCTACTTGAAATTTGGTAAAAGCTCATTCAAATTTTCTTAGAACAAGATTGCTAGAACAAACTGTCGACATATGAAAAAGAAGATTTCATCCTTAAATAAAGTCTAGAGTTTAAAGAGAAATTGTGAACTTTACGAACAATCAAGAAGAACATTTTTATTTGTGATCCGAGGAATTTCTTCTATACTAGCCGCTAATTTTTTGTTTATGTTTCATATTTAATATTATTTTCTTGTAGATGAAAGAATCATCATCACCACCGTTGTCATCATCGTCTATTGAAGTTGAAAAATATTTGTCAAATGAATTTCAAATTCGTAATCAACCCTATATTATTACCATGTCTATTAAACAAAATTCTACACAATTAGATTTAGAAGTTGAAGCAAAACAAACAGCTGATCAATGGAAAGCAAGTTTTGATGTGGCAGGTAAATACACTCAATTACTCATCGCACATCAACATATCATAATTACTTTTTCTACTTTGTCGCTTAGCAATTGAAACTATGACAGCTAAAACGGGCAATTTTAAAAGTTTTACCGTATTTACAAACATGTTAGAGAATGCCATCAACGAGGTAGAAGATTAATAAAACTGATAGTCAAAGAATTTGTTTGTCTAATTTTGTTTCTTTTCGAAGGAGAATACATCTGTTAGTATTGATTTATTTACATACGATGATTTAGAAGCATTAAGAAAAAAACGACAAGGTGGTGGACAACAACCACAAGCATCATCCACTCAACAAATAACACCGCCTGCATTAGCTAATAAACGTTATCTTATTTTAACTTATAATGCAGAATATGACAGGTATGTA